TATCGAGGGATCTGCTTTCCTCAATCCGCTAAGGCTGTTATTGGACTGGGACTTCCTAAGGTCGCAGTCAGTGACTTGTGTTTGCTTGCCATTGTGGGCTCCCTGCGTACTTATGACACTTTTATGCGTGGCACATGGAGCTGAAGGTACATTTTTGCCATTTAATCTCACCCCAGACCCAGTATGACGGTCACTTTGTGCCTGATGTGCGAGTCTTGACTGTGCTAGCGCATACTGCGCCTTGAAGAGCATTCACCATTGTTTGTCCTTTCTTTGGTTGTTAGTCTTTAGACGCCTGTTCCCATACCAAAATCTTTACATACTTTGGGATTCACCTCATCAGACTGGCACTGTCCTTGGCATGATTTCGAATGAGACGTTCCTCTCTTTTCTCCCATATTCTCCTGTTACTCTTTCGCATTCATCGCATTCATTCACTTTTTATGTTTGTGACCATGCTCTTCAAAAATAAATGATAATAACGCCATTCAATGCCTTTCTGCCGTTACATACGGAGGAAGCATGAGGCTGGGTTTTCCAGGTTTAAACAGTAGGAGTCCAGCTACCTTGGTTGGAGTCGAACCACCGACATTCCTGTCAGTGATTTTCCGTCTTGATCACTGAGAACGGTCCATAATAAGGGACTTTGAAAAACTCGAACGGCACGCTTATATAAAGGTAGAAATCACACAAACAAAAGTGTAAGCAGAATAATCAAGTAGACTGCTGAACTTCTACTGCGTAACATAAAAATCTAACTATTGTTTGTTTTGTTCCGAAAGAACTGTCCATATTGTGAGAACCTAAATTAGAACTAAGTTTTCTTCATTTAGTTAATCAGGTATCTGTGTCCCGCAACACCATAATAATTCTTAGAAGAATAGTTCTAAATCTTGGCGAAATACGCTCATTTGCGAATCAATTTGTTTTTCACGAGAGACTCAACTGAATCTGTCGTTTATGATATTCTACAACTGAATATGCTGCACACAGGCTGTCTCATGGCTCACTTGGCACGATATTCGAGATATCGCAGTATATTTTCATAGAAGCAACTACTCACAAGTTTGCTGAAAAGTTTTCGATAGCCACGACCGGTTCCGCCATTCTTGGGGCTCATCAGGTAGGCACAGTCCCCGAATTTCCGTCAATCTTATGTTCTACTTGATCCCAAATTGGAGTGTTTTCGCGAAATACACTCGTTTGCAAATCAATTTGGTTCAAGTAGAACGTAAGGTTGACGGAAATCCGCGGACTGCGCCTACCTGATGGGCCTCAAGAAGGGTGAAACCGGTCGTGGGCTACCAAAGATTTTTCAGCAACCTTGTGAGCAATTTCTTTTACGAAAATTCTGAATCTTGTTGAAAACATATATGAAATCGAGTCATCTGTGGTGCTTGTTGCTTAGAAACGCGATCACTCAAAAAGCAACAGTCTGTAGCCTGTTCTAGCGGGACGTTAGTGTAATAATAACACGTTGAGGGTGGTTTTATGAAAGGTGAGAGAAACTCGTGGTTGTCTGAGCAAATGTTCTGTGTGAAACTAGCAAATTCAGGAATAGGCGATGCTTCCTCAAAATGGAGTACAAGTAACTTTAGTTTATCTAGGATAGTAAGACAGTAGATGGAGGAATGAAGATAAAATGTGAACCTCCACGGAGCCAGCCTGAGGCGATGGTCTTTCCTACGATATAACCTAAGGGAATTCAACAGCTACGTGGGAGTTCACATGGGGAAGGAGACTGTTTTGTATCCAGAAATAAAGTTGCAGTTTTACTTGAGCAACATGTACCCGAATATAACTACCACAAATGAGATTTCTAAGAGCGATTTTTTTCCTTTCGGACAAGGCAAGATTAAACGAAGGAATTGTCTCTAGTATAAAGTCCAGCTGTGCACACTCAAACTTCGTCTTGTGACGAAACTCACATTGTCATTTTACGAAGTTAACGCGAAACATAGGGACACATTCACTCACGTTTTTGACGGTAACCACGTTCCAATCCTACTTTGGGCAGATTCAAGCTTCTGACAACTTCTTTGTAGTCATGTATGCGCAAATCCAAGTTGCCGGGATTAGCTAGACGACGGGAATAAGAACCAGATTAGTTAATGACGATTGACTTATTTGTCTTTTCCTAGTTAACAATAATCCTTTACATAACGAAATATTCACTCCATTTTCCAACCTAATATTATTTGGTAAAGTTTACTAGTAACTCATGTGGGTGCCTCAAAAACAGTCGAATTGTACGATTCCTCTTCCCTATGGCTAATTGGAGTAGTTTCGAAGGAGAGATTAGTCTACGTCGACTAGTCAGTTCCTTGTTAAACAAACGAGTCTGATGTTTGATACAAATTGCTTGCTCCAACGACACACTCAGAGCACCTCCAGAACAATGAAACGAAATCTTTCAGACCCATTTTTGTTCCCCGCAATGAACAGTTGACCTGTCATCATCTTCTAAACCAGGTTGGTTCGTGCTGAAGATTTGGAGTGCGCCTGGAAAATATTGAATCTCAGCTGCAATAAAAAGCATTGTTCATGGTCGCGATCATGAAGAAATTTTAAATGATCCGTAATTCAGCTTCAAGCGCCTATCCAGTAGTCTGATTAAGTCGCACACAGACGAAATGTATTACTACTCCTTTGAATGCACATTTTTCTACACTTGATTTTGACTGATTTCTCGAGTGACGGACTTTCGGAAGGCCAGTCAAAAGTGACAGTTGCTGGTAGCTTCATACTCTGAGTAGATAATTGATAATTTTCGGGTGGCGTTAAATTTTTCGAGGCTGTTAGTCGTGACTTCATTCAAACTGGCCTTGCTGCAATTTGTCAGCATTGTGTATCTAATGAACCACTAATAAGACTAGATCACCGGCAAACCGTTTGAACGTTATCGGAAAAGCTAACTGATTGATCGGCGGTGCGATTACCCGACTCCGGCACTTGATTGCAGCATTAAATGCGACTATTATGTGGTGAATTCTCAAACAGTAGCCCATAACAATTTACATGGGTAGTTATTCATTTTGCGCAGGAGTATGAGATTAAGACTATTTTGACCGCGAATTGTGCAACAAGATGCTGACTGGCGATCCGTTTTAACAGTGATTTCCAACACTTGGGGACCCTCCCCTTGGGCGGAATTTTCATCATTCAGGGTGCAACGGGAACTGGAGACTCATCAGTTGTATAACCTCTAAGCTTACTTCACCTCAAGTTTGTGTCCAGCGACGTCTTACTGATCAAGTCTACATCTTCGTTTTAGGCGTGTTCAGTAATGGCACCTTCGCGGGTCCAAATGTACTGACAGTGAACAAATGGTCTCTGCTGGAGGACAACGTTTTTCGATGTTTATATGAGAAACCTCTACCAAGTAGCAACCGAAGACAGTATTGACTATTTATGTGACCTCCGTAACAGCGAGAACTTTTTGGAGTAAACAACATCAGAGGCGGGTATGATTATTTTCACGATCACGGAAGAAAGCGCGGGACAATAAATTTTGAGAACCACGGCTTTAAAATGTCTTTGATTTACTCATAAAATCAGTCCCGAAGGGAAAAGTGTCATTTATCCTTTTCGGCAGCCAGTTAGACTTCGGAGTCGAAACCGATTCCATTGAGAAGGATTTGGCGTTTCAGTACTCGCTTTGAAGCTTCCGGTTTAGGGTGAAAAATAGTATTTGATCGGGTGCGTAATGCCCACGAGCTACCAATATTCCAACACTAACGATAGAAAAATAAACTGCTAAGCCCTCGCCTAACTCGACGGAACGGAACGTCATTATCAACTCGGTCACGCACTCAACAAAAAGACTGACAGGAAAGCAGGTCTTGAACTTGGATCTGACTCACCTTTGAAGTGGCTGGAGACAAAAAGGAGTGACGTTCCGAAGAGGATAAAGCAAATTGCCACCGCTCCTTTGGTCCGTATGTTTGCCCTTGTAGTTATACCAGTTGACTGGGGAACTATACAAAGAAAGCAGTCTGTTTGAAGACTTATCAGAAATAGAATACTTAATGTAGACACAGAGTATGATTCACTTATCTGCTCGACAATACTGCTTGCTAATGTTAAGGTCACTCAATAAAGAATAGACATTTTCTTATCAATCGATAGGGCGTGCGTTTTCAATCGGGAAAATTTATTACTACTTGAATGCTTATAAACAGCAAAAATATTTCAATCTGCAATTTTTTGTAACCAAGGGAAGACGAGTACAACGATTTGTCTGTGGTAGCCTAGCACTTTGTGTTACATTTATTGTTCCAACAATAATCACTCTGGAGAAGTAACTGTTGATTCCCCCTCTTAATCTGTTATCAGACTACTCATAAGTGACGTCCCTACTTAAGGTCTGCTCATTACTCGGTAACTGATGTCAATATTTTTTGCCCGTCCGTCACTGTTTGCAAGTTCGTCTCGATTTCACCTATTTTTGAGTGTCCACTCCGACGGAAAAGCGGACGGACCGGGTATCGAACCCAGAATCCCTGGATGGCAGGCGAACGCGCCATCCACTACATCAATCTGACGCCCAATGCGGTCTATTATTTTGTATGTACCCATGTACCGCACCTGTCAGATCGCCTTTGGTGAGATTTGTTTTAAACGGACAAAACCGCTTAATCTGACCTGTCACGTGACACGAGCTTCCGCGTCGTGCCGCTGACCGAAAGACAGTCCCTCACTTCCCGAACGTACTGATTCCTGCGCCGTTATCTCTCTATACGGCCAACTCACACTGCCAGACTGCCCACATATGTATGTGTGTACATTATGTGGTGCTTACCTGTTATTGGTTCTGGAAATCCCTACTGCGTCAGTGACTTTCCCGCTCCTGCTGATCACGTCATTATTGATTGTACGTTTGCACAATTCATGATGCTTTCTAATCCGTTTGCCTCTAGAACCAGTTCTTGTCAGTCCTCAACACATCATCTGCTGCCCACGTCTGACTGCTCCTATTGACTACTGGCTACGAAATGCTTGTAATCTAGTAGCCGCAATCGTCCTGTGAGATCCATAGCCGCCCGGATCTTACAGTAACTCTATTTCGTTTTGTTAAGGTCACATCCATTAAACTTATATACACTGGAGCCTCAACTATATGAGTTTTTCTTGTTTTACCCGGGTCATTATTACTATTTGGAGTTTAATTTGCAGGCAAATGTTAGTATTCTCTGCAAAGATTCTGATACGAGTCGGACAGCTGTTGAATTTAACCACCATCCGCAGTTTCCAGGTTTCCGAACGAGCCGAGTTTTAAATGTACCAGGAAGTGTCATTGTCTCTTGCGCGTGACCCATAAGCCGGTACTTTTATTCCCATCATAGCAGCACATTCCGGGACAATGTATCCATAACTACGACTACCTATAAATAACACTGCAAAAAAACTTTTTCCAATGTTTCAATGGACTCGAACGAGTGGGGACATCAGTTCACGAAATCTGTGGAAAAATAAGTCATATATAAGTAAGGAGGTGTATGTGACAAATCAGATATTGTTTGCAGGATACATTCCCGGTGTTCATCACAGCTCTGTTTCGAAACTAAAATAAGCCATTTGGACAACCTGGTAACTAGACGTTTCTCTCAAAAAGTGCGATAGCTGCTTCGTTTCATTTTGCGTTCTCTTACTCATACACTTCACACAGAATCGTCTCATTCGACGTTGTACGTCACCTCCACAATTATTCTCAATGATGTTAAACAACTTGTTCGTCAAGATTCAGAACTGTAAACTTTGAATGTGCTAACAAGGTGATGACGCAACAAGTTGGCATAATTCTTCGGTTGGCACGTGGTATCTGGCATGTGGTAGGTTTCTGGCATCAGCTCAAAGCAGAAATGTTTGCTGAACCAACACAATCGAATGCAGAAACCACTGAAAACTCGAAACTAATTTACGTGGGAGGTTGCAAACAAGCTAACTCTTGCGAGATTACTATCATAAGGATCATTATAAAAGTTAGATCGCATCAATAAATATTCGATGCACCCTGCGTGGCCACTTTCATGTTGACTAAAAATGACTGAAACACTGCTCGGGATTCCGCTGCACTGAGATATGTATTTCATTGACTTAACCGCGAAACAAACCTGCTCACAAGCAGGTCAGAGAAAGGGATAATAAAGTGGTGAATCCAAGGGAAAAAACAAGGGAAATACTGTGTTTCAGCCTAGCAGCACAGAAGGAAACAGTTTGAATGCAGAGGAGCCACTGAGACAATGGGATGGCTTGATCTCGAAGTGATGGGTCTTGGAAGAAAAGTTTCTCGACCGCGAGCACTAGCAAGCTGTCAACAACATTGTTTCCTTTTTTCCTTTCGGAGGAGAGAGAAAGTATTAATTTGGCACTTTGCATCAGGAAGTACAATGGAACATGCTGGGGATCACTTCAAAAGTTTCGCTAAAGCTGTCCTATCATTTCATATAGGTTTGAGACACACAAACAATCACAATATAAATGGCCTGATAACACCGATCGAATGAATCAGGAGCAAGTACGTCAGGCAAGGAAGAATAAGGATAAAAATAGTACTCCGTAAAACTGTCGTTTGAGTTGTTAGCACTAAGGAGTTTCGGTTCACAGGTCATGTGATCTGGATTCTTTCAAGGAAATTCGCAAGACATTGCTGGTTGCGTCACACAGATACTTGATGTAAAAACGACCTAGGGTGACGATACCTAATTCATCCGTTTAAACTAGAAGCAGTAAGTATACGGTTTTCTCCTTCTGTCAAGCGCTCAAAAAACAAACACCAAAGATATGCGAAGATATGAGTGTTTACCGCAATCCTTGTTACGTAGACTAGCATACAAATTCAGCTATCTGGATGCAATGGCTTCTCGATAACTTCATGGTTTCAGGAAAATTCAAAAGTCCATGTGTACGCAATCTGCCGGTAGCTTACCATTGCTCTTCTGAACCAGCCAGGTAATTTTTCACCAGTGATGTACAGCTGTTCCAGTAGTAATGACACACGATCTCGCATTTAAACTTTGTTTAACTGCACTCTGAGCAGTTCTTTGCACTAACTTCAATTATGTGTGCGACAGGAACGACTAATTCATCGCAGACCGTTTCTATGAGGCGCTAAGCTCCGAAGTAATCGAAATCATCTGTCTCCATGGTGCCCTTCAATAGCATGCCAGCCCCTCACCCACAAAGACCACATCATCATCAGTTACCATTGACATGTATTGTCCATATTTAAATAGTTGCATGGACTTCAACCAAGCACTCGTCTAGAGTGCTTTTCGCTTTTCAGTGGCGGACGATTCACGTAGCAACTGGAATGATCTTAGCTCCAGAAGACCAACGAATGTATCAGAGCCGTCTTATGAGCGCTTCTGATTGTTCCGTCGTCGGATTTCACTTAGTACTAGGAGATCACAATATGATTATACAATATTGGGAGTTTCGTCTGTGATAATGTCCTGCGACGCAAGCACTGACTGTGAGACAGAGCAGTAGCACTGCTTGAGTCTCGGAAATATGTTCATGTCCTCCTCGAATACATTTAAGTCCTAAAAATTATCAGACGTCTGCTAAAACTTAGCGTGCACGTCATCCGTGAAGACCGGTAGACACTGAAGTTTGGAGCAATGGAAGAGGGGTAGAGCAATGCCCCAAGATTGTTTCGGTTGATGCGTGCCACTAGTCATCAGCAACCGCACGTGGGGAAAATCATTAAGAATCAAACTAGGACAACCATTTTCGATGAGAAAAGGACACATGGATCGTTGGATCGAGGATTCCAATCATCTGCTGCTACTCAGACTCAGAACTGTACAAGAACTATGTACAGTGAACATGAAACGACGTACGGCCTTGGAGATTTATGACTACGCGTATCCACTCCAAAATCAATGAGCTCCTGGTCCAGACGGCCTCCCCCAGCACTGCTTAAGAATAGGAGTAGAGGCCCTAGTCAGCGCTTGTCTGATCTCCTCATCTCTATCTGCAAAAAGGAGAGCTTTTTTGATGACCGGGGAGAGTTGATAATAGTGCACGTTTTCAAAAAGGGCTCAGCAGTTAGTTTGACAGCTACACAAAGATAAGTCCAACTCCCGTTGCAGTGAGACTCCTGATGTAATCCGTCATTCGCCTCAACTTTGACTTGGGAACAACCCCAATACGGAAAAGGGTTAGCTTGACCAGATCTTCACACTCCATTAGGTGCTATAACAAAGGGAGCTTAATTGTTGACCTTTCTTCTCAACACGCTTGCTCGGCAAGAAATGCCCAGAAAAGTTTGTCCGTATGGTAGGCTCTTTGTATAATGATATTGCAGGTATGTGAGAATATCCATACAAGGAGAGACCATCCGGTCTGTGAAGCGTTTTACGGATTTTTGGGATACCTGTGGCGGAAAACCCGTATTTTCTTGAATCACAAGTCACGTGTTTATCAAGTTAAAATATGAACGTAGATCAATCGGTAACGATACAATCAGAAACGAGCATTATGTTGTATAACGCGCATTTTGACCGGAGAATGTGTTTAAAACCAATGCTGCGGTAGTTTGGTCGTGTACTGCGAAGAATGAGGCACTTTTCCCTATCAAAATCAGATGGGCGCGAACACAGGTGTGGTCAGGCTTTTACCTATCAGAGGGGTATGAAAGAGATTACGAAAAGTTTAGGTGCTGTTGGTGCGCCGTTGCCTTCTAGGATGGAGTCCTCGTGATTCCCACTGTGATGGTTGTAGACTCTTCAAGACATGGTTGCTGATCGAATTGAATGGCATCATTGTTGGCGGTTTCCATACAGGTTAATTGGGTGTTTTCTGGAGGTGTGGGCATCTCAGAAGGTGCAGGAATTCGCCTCTCTGTCCAGTTTTGTTCTATTCGTCACAATAAGGCTTTCAAAATGTCTGTGGTTGTGTGGTGGCGAAGTATCACTGCTTACCACTGATGCTGTGTTGCCGATGACGATGGTGGTATGAACAATACTGGTGTGTGTGGGGGGGAGGGTGTTGGAACATCAGTATCAGGTAGTGAATGAAGGTATATAGAGGGAAAGGAATGTGCAGCAGGAAATTATTCTGCATAAGCCGACAGGTGTTCAAGGGTAAGTATTGTGTTGTGATACATTCCCCCACAACAGGAGTATATGTATACATAATTATACATACATATATGTCTCTATGAACAGCTTCTAGAAGATAAAAATAAAAATTGGAGAAAACATTGCGACAGAGACGTTAGTTTTCTGGCATTTCTATGAGATTTTCAGCATCACTATAAGAGTTTTTGGTAGGCTAGCTGAACTATATAATCACAACTTGCTGATTCTTTTGAAGTACACAAAGATGTAAATTGGTTCTTAAAATATACATACTGGCTCGGATAGAAAAAGCAATACGGGTAAAACACCGTCAAATAACTCCAGTAAGTACTTTGTGCGGGCTACTCTAAATTCCAGTGAACTTTTGAGGCTTGGATAATTGTGGCGATCTGCGCTGAGATTGATAACTTTGATTTGTGGCAGTAATGAACCTGTCCGGCGGAGCCGACGCATGCCAAAGTAAAAATGCTTTCGAAAACCTTACTATTCTTACGGCTTTGATGTCCACAAAAGTGCAGACAATATTGTGGAACGCTGTATATCGTACAGCCTTCAGATAATATCCTTAAAATAATAAACTAGTGAGTATGAAGTAATCCTGGTTACCTCATCTATGTAAACTAGTTATTCACGTGTGGCGGGTTGAGTAACCAATCTGAGATGGGATGGTAGACTGAGAAATGTTAGCACAAAACGGCTCCAAATTATGGAACTAGGTACGCCATCTTCAGGCACTGCACTCACGGTCAAAAAGTAACTTGGCAAATACGCGACGCTTCTAAATGTGTGTCTGAGCAGCTTTTGGGGGAATAAAACTCAGTAAATCTGATCAATTATCCATGGAATGGTCATGTACTTGGCTCGATGGTCAGACTGTCTCCTAAGCGTAGAGTAAAGACATGGATTGTAGTGGAAGTAAGACATGATAGGCATCGCCCGATGGTGTACTTGAACTTTGGATGTGCTTGTGTGTGACTGATGTCGTTCATAAGGAAGATTTTCTACAATGAAAAAAGTGGCGTTCCTATCCGTCAGTCATTTATTTTTTACGACACTCCTGTAGTCAGTCTGTAAGGCAAACGTAATCGGACTAGAAAAGTGAACATAACAAGACAAATCAACTGTAGAAGCAGTGTTCAAGTTCACTGAGAGCTTTTAATTCTCCTTGTCCCCTAATCTGTTACTCTAAGGGAAACTTTGATCTGCTACTGTATGTCACTTATTCTAAAAGGCCATTGGGTCCACGAAATGATTTTTCACTTAAAAATGAAAGTACCTTTCGACAAATAAACTCATTTGCAAATCAATTTTGTTTTCAAGGTAGACTCAACTGAATCTCTCGTTTATTATATTCTACAACTGAATGCGCTGCACACAGGCTGCCTCATCTTTCAGTTGGTACGATATTCGAGATATCGCAGTATATTTTGACAAGGTTGCTGAAAACTCTTCGACAGCTCACGACCGGTTTCACCCTTCCTGGGACTCATTATGTAGGCGGTTCAAGTAGACCATAACGCTGACGGAAACTCGGGGAACACGCCTACCTAATGAGCCCCAAGAACAGCAAAACCGGTCGTAGGCTGTCAAAGAGTCTTCAGCAACCTTGTGAGCAGTTTCCTTCATCAAAGTACCTTTCTTTGATTCATAGAATAGCACAGTAGTAATTGCCTATAGCTGGCTCAATTGAAAGGTTTGTAGAGGCGAATAAGCTCTTAAAAGAGATCAATAACCTAAGGACTGTAGGAATTCACTCCTTACGACTGTTTTTAGCAAAGTAACTACTAGCTGTCTCAAAAATGACTGATGATACAGGTGATTTTCGGGTGAACTTTTTCATCCTTTACTTTGGAAGCCGTATCCCCATAGTAACAATCACATATTGAATCCGACAGACCATGGAGCATTATTCTGTTCTGTTATACCGTGATAAGATATAGGCTAAAGTTCATTTAAAAGTGTTTTACTTAGCCGAATGATGTCACCCACTTTGGAGTCAGCAGGAATAAGGCTTGCGTGGAGACTGCTGGCATACACAGCAAAGGCTTACTGTGAACAGTCCTTAGAATAATGATAACTATCAAGCTGTAGGACTTCAAAATTCATCATGGAATTACTTGGTGGAAACGCACAACCGTGTGTCACATTCCCATACCTATAAATCAGCCCAGTCGAAAAAAATGCGTTGCTCAAGTGTGTGTGAAGTTTTCAGCTTACCTGATGTATACCAGATGAGATCTCTTGACAGGAAAATGAGTAGACCCAACGTGCCCTGAAACGCATAGCTGAACAACACGTGCCGAGGTCCCAACGTTGCTTGAAGGCGAATAAGCAGTTCATTCCTATGAGGCACATGAAACGAGAAGTGTGAAACACGAAGAAACATGTGAAGTTTAATGATTTCCACTTCGCAGGCCAATACGTCTAATCATTTGCGTCTACAGTTCATAGTGACTTGGAAATGCTTGTTTCAGCTGCACAGATGACATCGTTATAGAGGAATGATCAATACGAACCAACAAAACTAGGCAAGTAATCAATAAGAGGAAGGGATAAGATTTGTTATAGGTTTTATTTATCCTGAAAAACTGTAAAAAATACATTTTGAAGCAAGCTTTGTCATGCAAAGGGATGGTCTGTGTAAAACAACACATGATGATGATGCTCCAAAGATTGGCACGCACGACATGTGCTCTCGTGCCTTGACGAAGGTAAATAATTCAGGCAGCGGTTTGGCAGTTTCTTCGGTGGAACCGCGTTCAAAGGGGTCTCAAATATGTCCGCCAAAGGTCTATTTTTTCTTGTGACAACCGAAAAGTAGACGCCATCGTCCTTGAGCTCAGTATTTTGGTCAATAAATAGCAAAGGTACTTTAAATATATATGGGCTGGCCAAGGTCTTGCATTTCGTAAAAGTCACATAGAAAAATCGCTAGTGTCGCTGATGGATTTCTGGTTCAGCCGCTGGGTCATTAGGCAGACTTATTGAGAATCAAATGAAAGGTGTAATTATGATGGAGAATAATAGATAAGTTCTGCCACTCCGGCAGAGGGAGACTGGTGATCTATGTCCGTCTCTAGGTGGGTCTTCCATCTTCCACTATGTGCACCTGGTTCTAAATTTTCGAGGTACTTGAGCCGTCCGTCTGTGTTTTGATTAAAAGGGTATTGTCCACTTCAACCGTAAGCGGTGTTTTAAATAGTTGCTACCCATGTTTGCCTCCAGGTGAGGCGCGTTAATGTATCATCGTCTCATTTCATTTCGGCAATCGATAGAATGTATTCTATTCACTACTCATCCTGATTAGCAGAAACCAAAAATGATGTACGGATGTCAAGTACAAGAGTAAAAACAATCCATCGAGCTAAATTATTGAAAAAGTCAAACGGTCAGGTTGAAATAAATATGTTTTTTTAAGCTTGAAAATGTAGCAAACTTTTAAGAGCGTTCATTCAACTAGGTTAGTCGTGATGGAAGAACGAAATAAGCAATTCAGTGTCAAGTTTCCCCTTTCATAGTAGAAAAAACGTCCTTGAAATGTTTTTTTAAGCTTGAAAATGTAGCAAACTTTTAAGAGCGTTCATTCAACTAGGTTAGTCGTGATGGAAGAACGAAATAAGCAATTCAGTGTCAAGTTTCCCCTTTCATAGTAGAAAAACTGTCCTTGAAACCACAAATAGCCTTTTCATATGCGTCAACTTCTCAGCAGCAGAATGTAGTGGGAAAAAATCCGAGAAACAAAAATGAGGTCATAAAGAAGTAGGGAATTCCGTAATTCCGTTACTGAGGCTGTGTAAGCAGTGATGGTTCAAGTGCGGTCCCAGCAGCGATCTTCAAGAATATGGTAGACACGTCCCAGTCTAATTGCGTGAACGCACCTGGTGAGTCAGATTACAGTTGGACCGGACTAATTTGCATAAAGCGGTATCATTTATCAGAATTTACATCACCAGTTGATCTTTTCTATCGATTGTGTGACAAGGTGGACGTTCTACCATCAACGAACAATGTGCCGACGATTCCGTTAGTTTTCAGTGCCCTCTGAACTGTCATTCGTTTTTAATCCTTCCTAATAGCTCTATCTTCAACATCAGTCATCTATCTTTTCCAAGAACTGAGAATTAAATGAAATGTGACTGAGGGGACAGGATTCTTGAAAGCATCCTATAAACGTATTAGGGGCCAGATACATGGAAGAAATGTGGATTCCGACGCCCGATTGGGAACAGCACTGGAAATAAACCCTTGCCACCAATAGAAATATCAACAAAGCAAGTGGGTTCTTCCATGAAATGTCACAAAGAATTTGAAGACCCTAGCCGAACAGAGAGAAATGATTATGAATTTACGACCCAGGTGCCGTTTATCGGTGGAAACCGATGTGGATTAGCTGTTGATAGAGCTAGCTTCATATGAGTAGACGCCAACTTTTCAGTCAGCTTGATAACAACAGGTCCCACTAACCCAGGCACCGCCTGCTTCTCAAGCCATCATCATGTCTCGTAATAGAATCAACTGCACCTATGGAATCAGCCATGGAAGTGCACCATTTGGTGCCTTAGCTTTTGTCTCGTTGTGATACTCGACCGATTGAAGAGGTCAGCTTTTGTAGGTTTCTGAGTTCCCCCTATAGGATACATAAACCTGTTGGCTCCCCAGAAGAAAAGCTGCCTGTCGCTCGCTGAAAGCACATCTGCTTTTTGAGTTTTTTGCTACATCTTGGCTAGCCTTTTTCTAGCACAAGTCACACAGCACACATGCACTACGAACCTCGTGGGGGGTAATCTACAAGAAGAAACAAATATTATTCTGTACTCTGACCTAAACCATGCCACATTCCTTTGAGAAGGACTCTACGGTAGGTCTTATTGAATAATAGTGTGAAAAGAGAGGTCTGCCGTAGAAACGTTTTTCGACAAACTTTTGAGGGTTACAGTGGTAGGGAGAAATTTGCAAAACTAGTAGCCCTTGAGTTGTTGCCCTGATCACCAACTGTTTTTGATCAACAACCAGTTCGTGAATAGTTTTTAACCCGTCACAACAGACTACTTCCCACGTTTCATCAGAAAATGATTGAATTTTTTGTGTCGAACGTGAGTTGTAAAAGGAAGCACGATAAAAAGATTTAGTTAAAAAACGGGGTCAGACTACAAAATGATTGTGGGAAGAGTGAGACCACCTTTCTTGTCTCATACCTATCTTCTTCTTAAAATAAGATGTCTCGGTGTGAAAATGTGTTGATTTCGCATACTTACATTTAACAACTTTATTCTTAGTCGTTGTGTGTTTTATTCCCCCGTCCCCTATAAGACGTTATTCACCAAAGCGGACTGGAATGTAGTATGGTTTATGAAAACACATCGTCAAAGTTCCTGACATTTCTAGTTGGCTACTTTCTATGTGCGAGCTGTTTGGAACAGAATTTACGTTTCAATTCGGATCGCACTCACTTATCTGGAGAAATTTCTTGAAGGCAAATGGCAAAGATGCCAGCAGACTCGCATATGGATATTGGATAGCATAGATCTGCTAGGTCTTCGGGGTATTTCTGCATTGTCTTATAGGAGTCTATTGACCCGCTTACATGTGATTTTTGACTGGCCATGTTCCAGGTGACAACATGAACCCCTACAGTCTTTGATGGAAATATCCGGGTTAGTTCTTTGCTTCCCAACATAGAACCTTCTAGGCCGGCTATGCTACCTATCAAGAAATTTCTAGAAAGCTAACTCTGACGTGCAGGATAACTACTTTGCATGAACATGACGTCCGCGACTAGGTTGAGCAGAATACAGAGTAGTGCTACTCTCCGACGACTTCAGCGATCCTCCAACTTCCTCCAGTTGGTTGAAATTGTTCCCCAAGTTCATCTCCCAGGTGCTGGAGTTGATGGTTGACAAGCCAGCCAGAGGTAACATTGGAAAGCCTCACAATGTAATATTGCACTGATGTATGTGGCAGTAACCGGAATAACAAGGCTGCAACAAAAGAAAAGTGCACTAAAGACGACTGACTTGAAAGCTATTAATAACGAGTAAGCTATGCAGATTCACAGACTGAAGACAGTTCTTTTATATTCGTGAGTAATATGTAAAGGATAATAAAGATCACTGCAAGAAATGGAATTTTGTGAGATTCAATAACGATACAACCCAAAAAAAGCATCAGTGACATGTTCGATTAACGATACCACTTCATATTAAAACAGGTACATATATGTTGCGTATGTATAATTGTACGTTCATGTACGTATATGAAGCAGAATACATAATTTATGATCATTTATTCAAATTAAAGACATCAAATGAGATCTAGAATGGCTGAAAATAGTTCAGTCGTTGAGGTCATTCTTACCAAACTGAAGGTTTTTGGTTGGAACCTGACTCTGGCATCTCGACTGCCCCTACTTAGGCTCGGCCACGTGCCCGTTCGGGAAACATGGCAGCTAGTCACCAAAATAATAATGCAACAGAACGATTACTTTTCATTATTTAAAATATTTAAGAGCTCATTGCGAGAAAAACCACCCTAATTAGTAAGGAAAGATTACGGGCAGGAGGACGTGGGTTGAAAACCTACACCCCTAACAGATAACTCAGCTGTCAACACCAGTTTCCGTACAAAACCAGGTGGTAGCACTAGTACATCAGTTAAACAGTTGTGTTCCAGTAGCCACCAGGCTGCCTGCATCATCCCAAAATGTGTTAGGAAGATTTGAGTTTTCATGAAACGTCCAAGTGTCCCATTGAACGACTTTCTGTACAAAATTTTTTATTGGTCGCGAATAATTTTTGGAACCTACTCCTTTCATCTATATCAAGCATTAGACATGCATGATCTTTTATCACTGATCTTACTCAGAATAAGTGTGAGGATATTCTGGAATCGGAGTCGGCGAAACCATAAGTTTTACCCATATTTGTAGACATGCAACAAGATAACAGCAAGCCAGCGTTGGATTAAATCACTCGAGCAAATTGGAATGGAACAAGTTTGACGTGTACGCCACATGAACAATGGCAACAAAGTGAAGTAGTCTCATGTCTTGCGTTTATTTCAGCTATCTACCATGCTTAGCTAAAAGCACCAGTCGCATATAATCTAAAGGATGCTGTTTAAATAGTTCATTTTAGAACCGCGTGGTTCAGCAACAATATGGAAGGACATTTGGTAATTATGCAACCCCGGATGATTCCCTCCTCCACAGTAAAAAAGGGGCTGTAGTTCGACCTCGTTTAAGAATAGAACCATCGTTCGTAAGCAAAACTAATTTCAAATCTAGAAACTGGAATTTGTTATTAAAAAGTTTGAAGGTAAAAAGTAGAAAAATAGTTTTTTACAGAGGGACCATATAATATGCAGCCAAAACACAAACGTTATTTCTCCCTTCACGATAATGCGCAAGCTATCAGGAGTGGGTCATCTGTTTTCTATTCCAAAACAAAAGGTAGTGCTCCGTGCGGCGACACCCCCATTTCCGAAAAAACCTTCTTCCAAGCAGTGGGTTGTTAGATTTCTGGTAAGTATAATACTTCGTGAATGGGAAAACTGTTGTACTGAAACACTAAAAACTTCACACTAACAGCATAACATGTAAAAATAGACAGGTTGGCTGCACCCGAGGACATAACAGGATCATTTGTGCCCTTGATTTCTCATTGGAGAGGAATGAACCGAGTCGTATAAAACACCAAAATTAACGGTAAGCGTGCTATTGTAAGTCACTCACAAATGTTCACCATAGGTACACCAGTATCTGCGCCATTCTTGTGAACCCTCTACCCGGTAGAGTAATGACAATAGGCTGCCTTGTAGGGTTTCGATGGGCAAATCCGGGCAGGGTTAACAATATGTACCGCTGATACCACTTACAACAGGAATAGGTGGATTGCTTTTCTGTGGTAAGATTATCGCTCAAGCTGTCGTTGATAGTATATGGGTGAGCATATGAATAGGTTTTTTAGAGTACGTTTCACCCTGGGACAGTTTATATTTTATGATCGAGTAGATATAAAGAAAGGTATCACACTGCTTACTGTCATTCTTTAGATTGTGGAACACTCGTGTTTCATCGGCTGGTGCACAAGGAGTTAAAAGGTTTTCTTCAGGTTCAAACGACTATCATCAACCATGATTTCTCCATACATCGGTAATTAAATTTGGCATGAGAGTTTTGGATTCACGTTTAGCATCTGTATCTATCGCGTAAGCGCCTGGAAGACTGGAAGAAATGTTACTGCAGTAAGCCAAAACACTGAACGCATGAGCGTCAATGCGAACGTTAATGATACCCAAAAACAGGTTAACATAACACATTTCTCCATACATCGGTAATTAAATTTGGTATGAGAGTTTTGGATTCACGTGTAGCATCTGTATCTATCGCGTAAGCGCCTAGAAGACTGGAAAAAATGTTACTGCAGTTAGCCAAAACACTGAACGCATGAGCGTCAGTGAGAACGTTAAGGATACCCAAAAACAGGTTAACATAACATCCCCTAATGTTTCTCCTGGCAATTCTCAAATCACTCAGCACATTAACACACAACAATTTAAAGCATCACTTTCTACATACTGAACCGATTTAATTGTGGATTCAAGATATGAAACATCAAGTAACAGCTAAAACACCAAAATTTTTGACGTAAACTCCGGAAGTGATGCTGAAGGAACAAATCCTGGGCAGACTTGTAGATCATAGAAGCGTGTATTGTGGAATTTTTATACAATAAACAACGATCCATTGTATGCAATTGGCTTGAGATAGGTCACTGTTTAGGGCTCGAGCTGGTTGGTCGGTAAGTACATAGATTGAACCGAATCTTACCATCTCGACTGCTTCTGTCTAGGTTTATCAGCCTGGCAGTATTTCCACCCTTGCGCTTCTTTTGGGTAGCATGGTAGTCACGTATCAAAACGACTCTAACACCGAACGATACATCTCATAAAAATCTATCTCTGAGCAAAATTTAAAACTGAAGTGCACCCTTGCGCTTCTTTTGGGTAGCATGGTAGCCGCGAATCAAAACAACTCTAACACCGAACGATACATTTGATAAAAACCTATCTCTGAGCAAAATTTAAGACTGAAGTGCGCAAGACTAAAAGACAAACTCATAATTGATAACGCAGTTACGGTCGTTCGAGCTTCAAAACGTTTGGATGGAAAGGCCATTTACAAATGCACAGTGTTTTGTCAGTAAACGACTAGCCAGGAGTATAGTCAAGGTTTCGACCAGGAGTAATTCCAGGGACAACTCGGCTAGCTAAAAGACTAGATAAAAGTGGTAAATCTAACCATGATACCCAACAAGGGTTTGATTTGCGTTACTACTATGCTTATTCTTCCACTTTTCAGCCTAAAACTATGCTAAAAGTGGCATCCTTTGGGTAATTTACTCTTTATTGCAGTTTTATGTCACTAAAAACTCTTTCGTGGGATGGGTAGGTGCACCAGGAGACGACATGGTACATCTTACAATGAAGTGAGTTCGCTTTGAGCGTAAACTGCCTACAAAATCTATCACTTAAGAACTAAACCGTAGTAAATTAGTAGCACCACACTTGTGTTTCCTATCCAGGCTGTGCCTTGCGGACCACTATCTTCTCAAGTTGAGTTGCTATTTGGAATGATTGGCAGCCACGTCCATTCAAGATTTTGCCCGCAGTGTAATGGATAAGTGAGAGTAAAATGAACGGATAAATGGATGAACAAACGGATGCACGTTCCAAAAAACAAATAAATAAATAAACGGATGAATGGGTGGATGAATGAATGAATGAATGAATGAATGAATGAATGAATGAATGAATGAATGAATGAATGAATGAATGAATGAATGAATGAATGAATGAATGAATGAATGAATGAATGAATGAATGAATGAATGAATGAATGAATGAATGAATGAATGAATGAATGAATGAATGAATGAATGAATGAATGAATGAATGAATGAATGAATGAATGAATGAATGAATGAATGAATGAATGAATGAATGAATGAATGAATGAATGAATGAATGAATGAATGAATGAATGAATGAATGAATGAATGAATGAATGAATGAATGAATGAATGAATGAATGAATGAATGAATGAATGAATGAATGAATGAATGAATGAATGAATGAATGAATGAATGGGTGGATGGATGGATGGATGGATGGTTGGGTGGATAGATAAATAGATAGATAGATAGATAGATAGATAGATTACTGAATGAATAAATGAAAAACGAATCCAATTCGACCGTTAGCAATGACCAAACCGCCTGACCTATGTGCATAATAAGAGGCCACAGATAGTCCGCGTAAAGCTTTGCTCAGGCATTTGGTGCCCGTGTAGGCACGGGTGAACAAAATTGGTAAGAACGCAGGATCCGTCTCTAGGTCTGACCCGACCTGATCATAATGCCAGAGTAATTGGTATGGACAACAGTTATCTGTTTATGTCTGAGGTGCTGGCATCGTCTTTCAAGTCCTATAGGTTTCAGTGTGATACTGTACCTTCACAGTGTAGCACCTTGAGAGCGTTGTCGGGATCCGTTCATTATCAAATTTGCAAAGTGGTACTGAATAATCTGTTTAATAATGACGTTTCCAGCAGGCATTTATCACCTTTGGCGTTCTGCCAAGTATCAGGTTCTTTCGAGGGCTGAGAAGTGAGTAGCCATTTTCTAAAATTTCCTGATGACTGTCCCAATAGTGGAATTTCGTGCGTCTCTGATTTACAAAATCCACTTCCCAGTTGACCGTAGACAAGGTTTGGCCATTCATTCCGAATAACTCAGCCGCATCAGGCTGAACTAGTGCTCTCCGGGGAACGTTTTTGTTTGTAATTTGGTTCTCCCACTTGATCCAAAGGATTCTTCGCAGACGACGAACTAGGTGAACAATCCTTGTCTGTCGTCCAT